TCCTGCTCCTCTGATGCTGCCTGGCCTGCTGTGTTCCTCCAGCTCCATGCTGTGTTATCTCTGACTCCAGCATCGACAGTTCTTACTATCTCCCAGCTTATCCAGCCTATTTTTATACTCAAACCCTCCATTCCTGGCAACATCCTGGTAAATCTTTTCTGAACGTCTCCAATTTAATAACTACTCTCCTGTGGCAGGGCAACCAGAACTGAACACAGTACTCCAGAAGCACACCCCATGGACAAAATGCACTGCAGCCACAGTATGTTCATGGTGAAGGGGCTGGACATTTGGAATAAGTGTGTTAAGTGTCAACCAAATGGACTGCATTGTACCATGCATCCTGAATGTTGTTGCATCTGCACCATTCCAAATTACATTCCATTATGCCTCACACTGTGACCTGCAGATCTTGGTGAGGCACTGAGAAGGCTGGTGATGTGCCATTTGCTGCAGAATACCTAGCCTTTGACCTGCCGTGACGTTTATATGGATGGTCCAGCTGAGATTCTGGTCAGTGGTGAACCACACCCACAGATCAAGATACTGATGGTGGAATATCAAGAGTTGGAAGTTGACTAGGCTTTCATTTCTTGGCTATATTCGTGACCTGGTGCTTGTATGGAGCAAATTCTAGTCACTAATCATGCAAGATTTTCAGTATGTCTTGCTGCATGCAGGTTAGGGCCGTTTCATTATCTGAGGACCTGTGAAGGAAGCTGAACAGTGCATGACCATGTACAAGTCGCCCCCTTTCTGATGGAAGGATGGTCATTGATAAAGCAGCTGAAGATCATTGGGCTTAGGGAGCTGCCCTGAGGAACTCCTGCAGACCAAAAGACCAGAGGGAAATAGGAACAGGATTAGGCCATTCGGCCTGTTGAGCCTGCTCCACCATTCAAAAGGATCATAGCTGACTCAACATTTCTCACGTCCACTTTCTTGCCCTTTCCCTACAACCCTTGATTCCCCAACTGATCAAGAATCTATCTATCTCAGCCTTAAGTATGCACAAGGATTCTGCCCCAACAGCTCTCTGTGGCAAGGAGTTCCAAAGACTCACAACCCTCTGAGAGAAGAAATTCCTTCCCATCACAGTCTTAAATTGACACCCCTTTATTCTAAGACTATGCCCTAGTCTCTCCCATGAGGAGAAACATCCTCTCAGCATTTACCCTGTCAAGCTCCTTAAGAATCCCATACATTTCAATGAGATCACTTCTCCTTCTTCTAAACTCCAGTGAGTAGAGTCCCTACCTGTTTAACCTTTGCTCATTAGACAATCCTTAATTAAGGGGACCAAAACTGCTCACAATACTCCAGATGTGGTCTCACAGCATCTTGTACAGTTGCAGTAAGAATTCACCACTCTTATACTCCAAGCTCCTCTAAATAAGGGCCAACATCCCATTAGCCTTCCTGATTAACAGCTGTACCTGTGTCAATATATGTGATCTTCTTGGAGATCCTCCATGGTAGCTTTCTGTGTTTCTGTGCAGACATATCCTGAGATCCCCATTTAATACAACCATCTTCTGTTGCCACGTTAGGTGCCAAATGAAAGAATTTGCTTTTTCAGATAAAGGATTCTCAGGAAGGCCTTGTATAGAATGAAAGGCAGCAGGATAGTGCAAGGGATAAATAAACTGACGAACCTGTATGGCTTGGTGAACTGTGACAATATTTGTCAACCAAAACTTTGAGCAATTGACAAATGCTGTTCACCCATTAAAAATTAGCAAAATAGAGCCTGTTGTAAATCTGATCACCATTGTGGATTGTCCATCTCAGAGCATGGGCTCCCTTATGCTGACAATTGTAAAAATGCCTGCCTACAAATTGAAATTTTAAAATTCCCTCTTGCACTGATTTTATTTTCAATATTTCAGATGACCCCATGGCGTGCTAGTACAGACATCATGTTATTTTCAGCTTGGCTTTGGTGCTTTTGCTCATATAGATGCTGTTAATTACAGGATAACTGTTTATTCCCAATGTAAAACGTACTCTCATCCTCCATCCAGAATCAGCTCTTGAGAGATTCCTATCATGTTTCCACACTTCAGTCGTCATGTAGGATAACACACAGCAGAGGGCATCACTAACATTCGAATGTCTGTAATACTGTCAGATGCCTTAATTTTGTTGCATTGTGATATTCAGATCCTTAACTAACATAATGGAAAAGTAACCAGAAATGTCATTCCATTGTTGTTGAGAAACATCCTAAATTTTCCATTTTTAACTATCCTATCCCTCAGAAGCCAAGAGTGGCATTTGTTTGATAAAAATCCCAAAGAATAATGCATAAAATTAATTATGAATTTTTAACTCAACAATGTTTGCATAAAGAGCGGGCTTGCAAAAGATCATTGCATGTTATAGTCTGCAATGTGGGATCCTAGTTACGGGAGGGGAGTTGCGAATACTATACTACTGTTTAATATCTACCTTGATTTAATGTTTTAAATTCTGACAGTGCAGCGTGCCACTGATGTGTATATGTACATCTGTAACTACCATCTCCCAGAAGTTGGATTCAGTTGAAATTTAAAGACTGAATTTGATAGATATTTGATTAATAAAAATAATAGTGTGACTAACGGTCAGCAGATGCTGTTGAGATGCAGAGGAAGTGGAAGATAATGTAATGGTACAAGGTGCTCAGAAAGCTGAGTAGCTTATTTTGTGTTCCTACGACACATCAGCCTAGATTGGGTATTTAAGTTCCAGAAATGGGCTTTTAACTAGTGGGGACAGAATAAAATCTAACTGCAGTAAATAAAAGCTTCTCCAGCTAGAGGAGACAGCAAGAGGAAAGAGATATAGAAAGAGAATTAAACCTAGAAACATAACTGTGGTGACAGAACCAGGAGTATCACTCAGAGAGTTTGTAATGAAAAAGGTTACAGGGTTTTCAGAAGCTGTATAAGAGATTGTATAAGGCAAGGAAATGAAGGCTCTCTTCTAGGACCCCAGGAATGATGACCCCATAAAGTGGTTCTGCATATAATCTATTATGAGGGTAGCCAGTGGTGGTCAGTGTCAAATCTATCACCTCAGGCTTTCAGTGCTAGACACATTTTATTGACCTCACCAGGTAGAGTAAGGTGGTTAAAGACATGAGTATACCTATAAATGCTGAAAAAATGCTAGAAGTATCTCTCATCTTCATACCATCCATGGATCACAAAGGGTCAAAGAGCAAGTCAGGGAGACCATGAGTAATAACATAAGCTCTCATCTTATTCTGATAAAGTATGCCTACACTCCGATCATTGCACTGTCCAGTATGCTACCACAGGCCTGCAAGCACAGTCTGAATTCTGTACTTACTGATGTTATTGTACATTACAAAGATGTAACCAACAGACCACACTGACTCCATTACAGAGAGAGAGAGTGACTAAAGTGGTTTTAAACTAGAATAGTACATGCTATGCTGTCATGTTACTGTCTTAAAGGTCTGGTCAGGAACCATTGCCTTAATTCAGTTTTCTGATGGATAACTTCGTGAAGGTAACCACTCATAATGTAATCTAATCAGCAGGTCAGTGAGAATGGAGTCAAGGGAACAAGAGGTTAGTGTCTTAGAACATAGAATGGTACAACACAAGCACAAGCCCTTTAGCCCACCATGTATTGACCATGATGCCATTCTAAACTAATACCATCTCTCTGCATGTGGTTCACATCCCTCTATTCCATGTCTGTTCATATGTCTGTCTAAATGTCTCTTAAACGTCGCTATGGTTTCTGCTTCTACCACCTCCACTGGCAGCATGTCCCAGGCACCCTACAACCCTCTGTGAAAAAAACGTTCCTCGCACATCTCCTTTAAACTTTTCCCCTGCCACCTTAAACCTGAGCCCCTAATATTTCACATTTTCACGCTGGGAGAAAGACTCCAACTATACACACTATCATCGCCTCTTATAATTTCTAGATACTTCTTTCGGATTGACCCTTCACCAGAATTTGAACGCAGGCAGTGACTGGATCTCAGCTATCCCAGCAGTGTAAAGCTACATCTTGTTCAGATGTACATTGCGTAGGAACAGTGGAGCAGGAGTAAGCCATTCGGCCCTTCGATCCTGTTCCTCCATTCAAGGGGATCGTGGCTGATCTGTAGCCTTGTACCTGCCTTTGGCTCATACCCCTTAATTCCTAAATAATTAATAATCTCCCATAAGAAGCGGAACGCTGCTGTCTCATATGGTGGATGTTTGTGTGCTAAATTCCTTCCGAGAGCTGGATTTAAAAAAAGATATTTCCAGAAATTCAAGCTTATTCTTTGATGGGATGTGGGTATCTCTGGCAATGCCAGCATTTATTGCTCATCCCTAATTGCCCTTGGGCTGAATGGGTTGATATTCCATTTCAGAGGGTAATTAAGAACCAATCACAATAGCCTAGCATCGCAAGTAGTGAGAGCAGGTAGGAGCGGCAGATTTCCTTCCCTGATGAATTTTTTTGCAACAATCAACAATAGTTCACATTCACAAAGATTAGCTTTCAATTCCAGATTTATCAATTTCACTCAATTTAAATTCCACCCAGCACTCAAAATACATGGGGGCAATTGATGAATTTGCCGCAAAATCCCCTGAAAATTCAACTATGGGGCCAACCAACCAGAGAAGGATTGCCACAGTTTCTGGGACAGATGAGATCTCTGAGGAGATGCTCCTCCAACTGGAGGTCCTTTCTCTCCCATCCAAGTTGCTCCAGAACACCCAATCACAGCTTTGCCTCTCTCTACTGTACTTGCTGCTTCTCAAGGGATAGAATCTGTCATTGGAGGAGCTGCAAGGGTGTGTGGGAGGGAGGGAAGAAGCCTGTGATTGGGTGAACTGGAGGGGCATGATGATCAATCTTGGGCCCACAATGCAGCAGAGATTGACAGAGTTCAGCACTGAGGACCCATCAAGGCCAGGTCCAAGATACAGGCAGGTGTGGCACAGGAGCAGGACATCAGTTTGATGGGAAACAGTGCCCAATGGGGTAAGAGGATTGATTACAAATGGAAAGTTTTCAACAAATAGGAAAATACTTGGGCATGCTTTTAATATCCATGTGTAGAGAACCAAGCCTCCTGTACCTCTTGTGTTTGAAAGAATGCTGAACTCAAATTTTTTGAAGAAACATTCAAATTCACTCCAAAAGATGGCTTTGCAGAACTAAACAGGGCTATTGAAGGTCACATTGTAATGTCGCAACCTACTGGAACTGCACATACTGAAAATTAGCCAAAAGCTTCAAAAGCACTTCTTATTGAACCATCAAGGGATCTCACTGAGCAAGCCCTTAATAGCATCAAGCAGTTCAAGGAAAATAACAATATAAAACTCAATAAAATAATATCAAGTTCAATAATTTTAGAACCTGTACCCTTTTTACCATGTACTCGACCCATCTCCTGCACTCCTGGCTCTGTCATGATATGGGTAGCTTTCAGCATAGCTAACCCATTTTCACCCTCTCATGGTCCCCATTATCAGCTTTTCTTTCTCCCTGGCATACTATCATCCATCCATTGTCCTATTTTCTCTATCTCCATCTCCATCTATCCATTCACTCAGCCCATCCCTGCCCACTTTTTGTCTTCAGCATATATACCACTTCTTCCTAGCTACTGTCAGTTCTGAAGAGGAGAGGCTGGATAGACTGGGACTTTTTTCTTGCTGGAGTGTACAAATTTAAGAGGTGACCTTATAGAAGTTTGTAAAATAATGAGGGGTATAGATAAGGTGAATGGCAGGTGTATTTTCCCTAGATTGGGGGATTTCAAGACTAGGGGGTATATTTTTTAAGTGAGAGGAGAAAGATTTAAAAAAGACATGAGGGGCATGTTTTTAAATACAAACAGTGGTTCGTGTGGAATGAACTTCCAGAGGAAGTGATGGATGCAGGTACAGTTATAATGTTTAGAAGACATTTAGATAAGTACATGAATAAGTAATGTTTGGAAGGATATGGACAAAGCACAGGCACGTGGGACTGGTTTGGTTTGGGATTATGTTCGGCATGGACTGATTGGACCAAAGGGTCTGTTTCTATGCTGTATGACTCTATGACTCTATAAAAAGGGTTACTGCCTTCAAAACATTAACTCTGTTTCTCTCTCCACAGATGCTGCCTGACCTGATAAGTTTCTCCAGCAATTTCTGTTTGGTTTCAGGAAAAGTATTGTTCATCCTAAAACAAGGGAGTTTTTAATGATTGGTAGCATTCCTGCAAATGATTAACTGGCTGTGCTGTATCAAGGAATGGACATGGTGAAAGTGGGGGAAGAAGGGCCGATAACAACATGTGCACGAGCGCAGTTTGCAAACAGAATATGGGAGAATATATATCGTAAGTTAACTAAAACATCTTATTGATAGATTCCCATTTAAAAGATTTAGTAATGTGTGTGTACAGCCTTTGTATTTGTACATCTTATCTTTCTAAGGAACAAAGCTGCAAAAAAAATTCAACATAAATACAGAAGAAAATAACCCCATGTGACTGCATTATCCAGTATGGAGGTTAGTGAGAATGAAAAGGAGCCCCTGAAAATGCCCCCAAAAATCAAAATGAAGTCCATTGGAATCTCTAACTAAGAACCATTGGGGGAATAGAAAATTTGACCCCAGATGCTACCAGTTGACTTTGATAGGATTTATGTTCTGAGGAAAGGTCACCAGACCTGAAATGTTAACTCTGATTTGTCTTCACGGATGCTGCCAGGCCTGCTGAGCTTTTCCAGCAACCTCTGTTTTTGTGACTTTGATGGGATTTGGCCTCATGTTTCCAGGAAAATAGAATTGGCATTCAGAATATTGTTGAATGTCAGCACTCTGCCACCGCCATCATCCAAATCTCCTCGATGAGTTTCAATTGCCGAGATGCGTCAGAAAATAATTTTCCACATTTAATTTCCCTAAACCCCTGCTTTTTAATCTGCTTTTCTTGCCTCTTCCAAAAGATCGCGTGGGTTTTGGTGAGATGGAGAATGTGTATAATGGGATACACAGGTATTGCAACTGTGTGCAACAAGCTAAATAAACAAGGCACTCTTCCCCATATGACAAAATTTTGTTCTACTTTGATTCATTATTGAGATGTCCCAATTGGAGCAAAATGTTCCTGACACATGAATTCTCAGCGAAATTCTATTTATTTAGCTTTTAAACTGTAGCAATGCACGATTAGACAACTCATTTTGAAAACAAAAGCTTGCAAATTATATATAGGAAAACATATTGGAGAGAAGTTCATCCACATTTCAATTTGTTTCATCAACACATTTGTTGAAGACAGGTTTTTCGCTGTAGTTGTACGTGAAGTAAAAGATGCTATCAAAAGGGTGTCGAATCATAAAATCTTTGAATCATAGAATCATACAGTACAGAAGAGACTATTCAATCCATCAAATCTATACTATTAAAAATATGCTACCACCTACACCAGTCCCTCTTTTCTGCACTAGGCCCATAGCCTTGAATTTTATGACACTTCAAGTGCTCATTAATGTATGTTTTAAAGATTATGAGGTTTCCTGCCTCAACTACTCTCCCAGGCAGTGCATTCTGGACCCTACCATCCTCTGGGTGAAAACATTTTCCCTCTAAACCTCCTGCCTTCCACTTTAAAATTATGTCCCTTCTTATTGACCCTTCAACTGAGTGGAATAGCTGCTTTCAGCTCCCCATAATCTTGTACACCTTAATCAGGTGGTAGGAAGAAGCCAGGATCAAGGAATCCATTTGTGAAGGAATGCCACTGTCTTGAACAACCTCATGGAGGTATGTTCACAGCCTGCTGCTGATACACAAGACGAACCATATTTATTGTTCAGTCCTTGTAAAAGAACCTCAGGCCTCAGATGTCCTGCGCCGACATGAAGAAGGTACATTGTGGTATGGTGTCTACTGACTTGAACTATATGGGCCTGATTTTAAACTCATTTGAGACACATTAATGTGGACTCCATATAGACTCTATAGGGAAGGCAATGAGATGAGAGAGGAGTAAAGTCAGAAATAGAAGAGATTTTATTTGATAGATTATCTAAAGCACAGCTGGAGACACAAAGAAGAATAAAATTATTTCTATTGCTTGCATTTTGCTTTATTTCCTCCCACTTACTATGTACGAGCAGATGACAAGGTAAATTTAAAAAGAAATTGCCAGGTCTGAATGAGAAATGTACAATTTTTAACAGCTGTAATGGTTACCATAGATCAAATGCCATGCTTGCCTGATTTCCATATTTTTAATTTAAACCCCATTTCGCTCTATGCAAATAGAATCCAGCTGATCTTTCTGTGCTTTTTCGTTTGCTAATTCAATGAGCAGAATTTTACTGGCATTCTCCATCGAGGCCACAGCCTGTAGGATGGGAATCAATCAGACTGAATCCTGACCCAAGGGTATTTTTCAGCCTCACTTTCTCCAGATACTAGGAAGACCCATGAGTATTTAAATGAGGCAGCAAATATGCTGGGTTTGTCCTCTAAAAGGACACTGCATGCACATTGATTGATCCTGGGGCAATCCATTCACATTCCACCCTCCCAGTCTCCTTACAGATTCTTCAAGAGAAAGTGTGACCCTGTGACAATGTGAGTTCATACATGAAGATAAGAAATATGAATAAGAGTTGAACAATGTGTTCCACCATTCAATAAGATCGTGTCTAATTTGTATCTTAATTCCGTCTGCACACCTTGGCTCTTCTTCCCTTTATACTCTGACCTTGCAAATAAATCTCTTGACATTAGATTTAAAATGATTAATCACGCTAGGACCTGCTTTTTTTTTTATGGAGGGCCTTCTCCACGCTTCTGTTTTTGTGAAGAAGTATTTTCCCAAGTTTTGTCCTGAATGGTCTGATTTCAGCCCCTGCCCCAGTCCTAGGTTTCTTCCATCTGTGGTAAACATCTCACTCCCTGCCCTTATAAAGTGGCACAAGTAGATGCTCATTATTATTTTTTATATTTTTAATTTATACTCCTGGGATGTCCCTCTAAGTAAGTAGGAGGCTTTCATTCGCTCTCTTGTAGTTATCAGCCTCTCCTTTGTCTGATTATCTCTCCTCTTTTCCTGGTTCATTCCTTATTCTTGACCATGTTTTCAACAGTTTCCCTCTTTTCTTCATCCCTGTTGATGTGAGAGGTTGTTGGGTGATAGGGTGGAGAAAGCAGCACTTTGTGTGACTGCGGGCAGGGAGTCTGGATTATGGAGGTGTTGCTAGATATCCAGGCTAGAGACCCAATCCACAGACTGGCCTTTCCAGTGGCAATGATGGAGGTGAAGTGGGAGTCTTGGATGAAATGGAAAGAAATAGGAATTTGGGAGAGAGGTTAATAGGAGGAGAGGGAAAAGCCATGGAGGAGAGGTGGTGTTGGGGTGGGGAAGGATGGTGCGTTGGGACTGTGCATGACATTTAAACCACAGGATGCAATACACTGTAGTAATAGACTTGTAGGAAGTAGGTAATGAGTGCAGGATGTCAATTGAAGAGAATATACAGTCAAGTGAGGGATATGATCAGAGAAAGAAAGAATTAAGGATGAAGTTCAGGGATTTAAGAAAACTTTAGATGCCAAGGCTGCCATTGGAAAGAGGACAGGGAAAAGTTGAAGATTGAGGAGAAAAAGCAAGTTTGTGGGGAGATGTGGTGCATGGGAGAGAAGCAGGAAAAGACACTGGTGTTTGGTTGGAGATTAACTTTATCATACAAATGCAGATTTCAGGAAGTCTAATATGTATCTTTCTGTAGTTTAGATGGAGAAAAAACTTTGGAAAGTTCTGTTAGTCATTCAAGAACCATTCCTTGCCTATGTTGTGCAACGGGTTTTGCAGTAGGATGTCTGGAATTTTCAGAAGGCCCACTCCATCAAGCATAACATGAAAAATATTGTGAGGGAATATTTCAGGGGAATCTTTAAAGTATATTTCAGGATTGACGTCGAGACACCTGTCAAAATGATGGGTTGAACTGCAGAGTGGGGAGATTGAGGAGCAGAATCGATTTTTGATTCATTCTTGGGATGTAAGAACATAGGAACATAAGAAATAGGAGCAGGAGTAGGCCATCTGGCCCATCGAGCCTGCTCTGCCATTCAATAAGATCATGGCTGATCTTTCCATGGATTCAGCTCCACTTACCCACCCGCACACCGTAACCTTTAATTCCTTTCTATCGTTGCCTTAAAAACACTCAACTGCTTCACTGGTCAGGGAATTCCACAGATTCACAACCATTTGAGTGAAAACATTCCTCCTCAACTCAGTCCTAAATCTGCTCCCCTTTGTTTTGAGGCTATGACCCCTAGTTCTAATTTCACTCGCCAGTGGAAACAGCCTTCCTGCTTCTATCTTATCAATTTCCTTCATAATTTTATATGTTTCTATCAGATCTCCCCCCTTATTCTTCCAGATTTCAATGTTTATAGTCCCAGTCTACTCAAACTCTCCTCATAAGACAACCCTCTCAATTCCGAAATCAACCTAGTGAACCTCCTCAGCACCCTCTCCTGTGCCAGTACATCCTTTCTCAAGTAAGGAGACCAAAACTGTATGCAGTACTTGGCCATCACTAGCTGGGCCAGCATTTATTGCCTATCACTAATGGCCATTGAAAAGATGGTAGTGAGCTGCCTTCTTGAATCACTGCAGTCTGTGTGCTGTGGGTAGACCCGCTATCCCTTTAGGGAGGAAATTCCAGGATTTTGACCTAGCGACACTGAAGGAACGGCGATATACTTCCTAATCAGGATGGTAAGTGGCTTGAAGGGGATCTTGCAGGTGGTGGCGTTGTCATGTATCTGTTGCCCTTGTCCTTCTAGATGAAACTGATCATGGATTTAGAAGATGCTGTGTAAGGATCATTGGCAAATTTCTGCAGTGCATCTTGCAGATAGTGTTGATATTGTTACGGAGCTGGAAGAACACAGCAGGCCAGGCAGCATCAGAGGAGCAGGAAAGTTGGTGTTTTGGGTCGGGACCCTTCTTCAGAAATGGGGAGGGGGAAGGGAGCTCAGACATAAATAGAGAGAGGAGGGATGGGGCTATCTCGGACTCTGCAGTTCTTACTATCTCTGAGTGAGTTATAACCCCACTGCAGAGCATCTCCCACAAATGCCCACCTTGAAGAAATTGTCCTCCTCCCTCTGGAAAGACCTCAGTGGATCTCTCTCCCACTGCAACCTTCTGGTAATCTCCTCTGCCCTGAAACTCTTCGCCCACCTACCTTCCCCAGGCCCACCCCTCCTCTTTATTTATTTCTGAGCTCCCTTCCCCCTCCCCATTTCTGCAGAAGGGCCCCGCCCCGAAACATCAACTTTCCTGCTCCTCTGATGCTGCCTGGCCTGCTGTGTTCCTCCAATTCCACACTGTGTTATCTCTGACTCCAGCACCTGCAGTCCTTGCTTATCTCCTAATGTAGATATTGTGTTGGGGCTGGACCTAGGAGCAATCGGATGTCTGAAGGGGTTGTCAGAGGCAGCAAGGGTTCAGGAAAGCAGGAAATCAGACTGAGAAGAAGTGAGAGGGATATAGAGAAAGAAAGAGAGAGTGAGGGTAGGGACCTGTGACTGCAGAGGAAGATGTAGGATGCTACTATGGATTGGCAACAGGGAAAAAAGAAGCAGGGATTGTCAAGTGCTAAAAACTTAAAACAGAAGAGTGGAAGAATTATTTAGAAATGTTAATAAGCTGAAAAAAATCTGTCAAGGAGTACAAACATACCTGAAAAGGAAAATAAGAGGAAGAGATTTTAGTAACTGTTCCACAGCACCACCAATTGCCAACACTTGGAATTATAGCATGACAAGTTTAGAAAATATTTAAATGTTTAAATAGGCGTTTCCCATCTCAAATTCTTACATTGGGATTTTCAATATTACATTTTGCCATCCGGTATCCATCTCTAAGAAACATGAACTCTGTTTCTCTCTCGACAGATGTTGTCAGACCTGATAGCTTGCTCCAGCATTTTCTGTTTTTATTTCAGTTCTCTGGCATCTGCAGTAATTTGCTTTCATCTGGATCAAATGTA